TCTGACCTCTGGTTCTGACCCGTGTGGATCTGACCCCTGGTTCTGACGTGCAGCCAGGCACGTACACGCGGGCGGGCTGACTCAGTGCTGTGGGGGAAGGAGGCTCTGGTTCCGAAACTATGGGAGACGACGACTAAGATCCAACAACCAGGCACCGAACCGCTCGGCGGGAATACCGTCTGCCGCTGACCACTCGCTGCAGTCGCACATTTTAACTGGTCAGTTAAAATAATAACGACGGAGGCTCAATGCCCGGAAATGGCTGTGCGCTCTCAGGATACACAGTGCTACGTGGACCTGCCCATGGTTGGGTAAATAATAAAATACTCACCTATATCATTTTCATTTACAGAGTCTGGGAAGCTGGCCATCTAAATCTGGGCGCAGACCGAAGAAAAACCCGAGCAAAAACAGCAAAAATGAAAATAGTTGACGAAAAAGATGTTAATGGTGACGAGCAGCAGCAACGCCTTGATGTCAAAAGTTAGCTGAATCCCTCCGCCAGGGCGTAACGTCCAAGAAAATATAGTCCTCTTTAGTTCAACAAACTCACAGTTCAAAAGACTTCAGATTTTCCTTTTTAATATCTAAAAAAATAAAGATTCATGTGTTCACCCTTCGAAATTACAGTCCTAAAATTATAGGGTCTAATTTGTCGCCGTCATACCTACAGTAATGGCTGCTTCGAAAATAAGCGTTTTTTCTTTCCTTCTTTCAGAGGGCTGTCCCTCCCGTCGTGGAGGAGGGAGGGGTTTCATTACGTCACAGCTGTTACCATGGCGACACTGTTAGCTCCTCCTGCTTGTATGTGTTCCCTAATGATCAGCCTCCAGTCAGAAAGCAGAAGCTTCCATTGTTTCTGGAAATAGATGCAGAAAAGTTTATACATTTTCTTTATAACGAGTCCTCGTGGCTCAATGAGACTAACCTGTAGAAATAAAGGTTGGATGAAAATTCATCCCGCAGGAAATTGTTGTGCCAGAGTTTCAGTACAAAGGAACACACACAATGAATCACACAAGATATGAATAAATAAAGAATGTTAAAAATACCAACAAGTAATCTCCTGGTCAGGTATGAACAGAAACATGAAACATTTGCTTGCTTTGTGTTTTACTGGGTTTTTAGTTCATGGCACTTTGCCTGACTCACTTTTAGCTGTTATATTAGTGCCCATTATAAAACATAAAGCTGCTAAATAAACAGCAAGGATAACCATCGGCCCATAGCTTTAGCCAGTGTGCTATCCAACGTCCTGGAGAGGATTATACTGAATAATAGAACAACGTCTCCTTACTTCTGATAACCAGTTTGGTTTTAAATCAAGCCATGGCTCAGATATGTGTATTTTCACTTTGAAAGAGATTCTTGGGTTTGTATAAAAAGCACAATTCTACAATTTGTACGTGCTTTATTCATGCCTCAAAGGCTTTTGACTGGGTTAATCATGAAAAGTTATTTTTTAAGTTATACAACAGAGGGGTTCCTGAATCTATAGTTAGAATTCTGTCCTTTTGGTCATCAGTTAATGTACAGAAGATGGGGTCATTGTGCGTCAGCTCCTTTTAAGGCATGGTATACATGGATGATTTATCAAAGTGGCTACAAAACTGTGGGACAGGGTGTGCTGTTGGTGGAACTAGTGTTGTGTTCAAGACCACTTAACCCGAGACCAAGTCAAGACCATGACCAGAGTGTACCGAGACCGAGACAAGACCAAGACTTTTAGGGTCCGAGACCAAGTCGAGACCAAGACCTCAAATAAAATAAATAAAATATAAAATTTCATTATAAAAATATTTTTTTATAAAAGTTACACACTGCAACTTTAAGTTTGCTTTTGAATGAATAGATCAGCTTTTATAAATTTTCAAAGCTACATAAAGAAATCAGATATTCAGGGACCTAACTTCATGTGATTCAACAATAAAATGACTCAACTGTTAAACTGGAAGCAGTTTCATCACATGCCAAGTCTTAAAACACTGAAGTGGCAAAACACTCTTCATAAGTCTGAACCCATGACCAAGGATAATCATACAGTTGCATTAGTTATAAGTACATTCTTTGTGATTTAAATAGGCAAACTTTATAACTGATGATATGGCAGACATCTTCTCCCACGCCCAGACAATCACTTCTCATTTTCTTGGAGTGACCAGTGTTGCCAGATAGAGTCGAGGTTTTCCAGCCCAAAAATCTGTTAAAAACTGCCACATCACACAAAAATCTGCCCAATGAATATATTGTTACAGTATATTAACTGTTTGAACATGAACACACATCAGTACAAGCCAAGGTAATTTAACAATATGTGGCAAAATGCAACAACAAATTTTTTCCAGAGTTCCCAGTAAAATCAGTAATGAGTTGTCTGTGTCGCTGCCTTGCCATCGTGTCATCGTAGTTCAGCCCTTCCAGCCTCGGGCTCAGGCCTGTCATGGTGGCTGTCTCTATGATCCTCCATCTGCCTGCATGGACCGAACTCTACGGGACCATTCAGTTTCGCGGGGAAACCTGGATGTTCTCCGTCTGCTGGACCCGGTTCTGGAGGGCAGTCTGGGAGGAAGCTGCTGCGGTCCTTAATATCATCGGGCTGCTGACAGGACCTGCTAACTAGACCTGCTAACACTGCTAACTGAACCACACTACTAACAGTATCATGCTGCTAACTGGACCATGTTGCTAAGAGAACCTCACTGCCATCAGAACCACTCTGCTTGCTACATGCTTAGGTAGTTGTGGTAGCTGGTTTTTTTTGTGAGCCGAGACGTTTCTTCTCATATCCTGATGCATGCTCAGTTCCTCTCATCCTCAGCATTTCATTACACTGTTGACCTTGTGTTGATTTTGCATATGACAAATAAACCAAACCTGAACCCCTGCATGCACAGAGCATGTGACTCTCACATGCTCACAGAGCAATTTTGCAGCAGCAGGAGAAGCCAAACGTCTTCAGCTAAAGAACAGAAATCCAGTTGGTTTTGCCTGTAATGTGTTTTGGATTTACCATGTCCTGCATGACTGAGAATCTTTACCAGCATCACGTAGCAGGAGGGTTAGGGATCAATCGACTTCCTGGTAGGCTACTCTATTTTTTTAAACCATCGGTGTTAACAGCACTGTTCAGAAAAAAAACATTTCCTGTACATATTTGTGTTTGTTACCGATATGTATTGTAGCATTCGGCTGTGGTTGACTGTCGGTCACATGGCCTCAGGGAGGAATTATGGGTAAAATTTATGTTCATTGTTAATCATTTCAGCTAGCTGTTTAGCATTGTTGTTTAAGTGATTAGTCTGTTCTGGTGTCTAGTTTATGTGTTTATTACAAAGTATGAGTTTGTGTTTATTGTGTGTTAGTTTGTGTTTATTGT